AAATGGGATATTGTAGTGCCATGAAAAGTGGGTGCAACTCTGTGATTCTTTTTAGTCCCTCGTATTTATGTTCAACAACTACATCTCTTCCAACTTCACAATTCCCCAAGTCTCCAACTATTAGTGCTGCCACTTCAGAAGTCATTGGCCTTTCATAGGTCTTTGGATCTGATTCCCTCCTTCCAATCAAACGAATGCCCAGTTCAACATTGTCTAAGTTTTTAAATCGATCCCTTGCTGATCTGAATACTTGAACAATGGGATTATGTGTATCAAACATTTCAATCAATCCTTGTATTATGCTAGGATCCAAATCATCACCATCATTAGTGTGCAAACACTTCATCCTGTTCTCTATCTCATTTTCTGTATCATATATGTAAAGTTGGGCAAACTTTGGAGTTTTGCCTATAGGTGGTAGCAATGAGCCTATTTTATGATGATTTTGCCCACTTATTCGATAGACAAAAGGACCATTCTTGTTCACACTTCTATCAATATTACCACCTATTGTTGTAAATGCAAATGATCCATTGTACCTTCTGATATTCCTTCTAAAGACAGCAGAGTCTTGATCACCTTTAGGGTTCAATAATCTCCTTAGCAAGATTGGTGGTTTTCTAAATGGTGTCAGCTTGATTTTTCCTTCTTGGCAACAAAGTGAAAATGAAGGATTTTTAGTTTGCTTGGTTTTGTCAACTCTTTCTGCACCCCATAATACGGCTTTGCAGTCTTGGCATTCATATTGAGGAGGGCCCAAATTGTTGTACAATGGAGTTGACACTACAAAATATAACGTATTCTTATTATAGTTCTTTGGACAATAGTTTCAAATGGATATTTAACAATGTGGAACAAAATGATCCATACCTATTGAAGAGCTATCCTGTGAGTTTGCAGTGGAAAAAGAAGCTAGGTTTACATCCGCATCAATACCTATACTTTGTTTATAGTACATTGATTAGTTGGATTGCTATATAACTGTATTCACATCAAAGAGCATGTTTTTATTTAACATAAATTTCCTAAATGAGTACACTGATTTCATTTGCAACTATGAAAACTCAATTATAGATAAATGCTTTTATAAATGAATTGAGAATGTATGAGAGACTCATACTTACTGTTTAAAGTATATGCACACCAACTTCTAAGAGTCCCATGTTCATCCTCATGTGATTGAACTTGTAATGTGATCCTTCTATGTAAATTATTTTTAAAGATGTCTGACATATTCTTCCTGAAAAGAGATTATTATTAAATAGAGTAAGTCAACAATAATATATATAATTAGAGACAACTCAAAAGCAAATGAAAAGTGTAAAAAAAAAATTATTTTTATTTTCAAAAGCAACCTGTATTTTATTTTTAGTTTTTTTAATATTAAAAGAATAAATTTATATTTATATATTTATTTTTTTATATATCTATCTATT